GAGAGGCCCACGCAGCGATGTAGACCCAAGTCTAGCCTTTACCTTGCTTTACGCGGAAGATGCGCTTGGCAACACTTACTCTCTCAAAGCTCAAAGCTCAGAATGACGCAACATGCGCTGAGCAGGCCTCACCTGCTGAAGAATGTCTAGCCGAAGCAACAAATCACATGACAGAGTGGAATCGATTTGTGAGCCAGCTTAATCAGCCTAAAAGCCAGATCAAGTGCGCAAGCGTCGAGGTCTTAATGTTCTAGTCTTCTATTTCTAACCCTTTTGACTGTGTAATGGTAGCCATTCGGCTACATAAAACCCACAGTTTTCCAGAGGGAAGCAAGCTCAGAATGCGAAAGAATGCTTCTACCTGTGAACATATCGTTGAGCACGTTGAGGCCTACATTCAAAAAGATAAAGACTACACACTCTCACATTTCCGACCTGACAAGCTTTCGTCGCGTCAATCTAAAATACTACGAACGATGCACTAGCTCTAACAGTTCACGAAGATGGGCATTATGTACTCGACGGCCTGCCAACAGCCTCACTGCTGACAAATAAGACTACCACAACAGATAGTGTTAAGTAGATCTTCCATCGATGGCGAGTGGATCTAGCTTTTCCTTTCGAGGACGAGGCGTTTTGTGAACTGTAGGAGATGGGGATGCTCCAAGTTTGATTGTTGGTATTTTCAAGTCGTCTAAGTTGTCACGCCTCCGTCAGTAAATATCTCCGTTTACAGGTAATTTCGCATGGTTTGATTGACCGAAACCTTCGCGAGAACAGAAATAGGCAGTAAATTGGCGGCAGACAGGCAAGACTTCTTTTTGTTTGTATCACAGAAAATCTCTTTGGATGTGCGACACAGCGTGTCCACTCACATGCTACATAAAGACACGATTAAGAGTGGTTCACCTTAAAGGGGCTTCGACGGGTCAAGCAGAGGGTCAGCTTCGCAGAAAACCCTCATCTATGGCGCCATAGGCTGTCCAATGCAATTGCAACATTTGCAAACTTCAGTCTGAGGAGTGAAGTGCTGGTAGAAGACACCATGTTCTTCGATCAAGCCTTTCAGCACTCTCTGGGTACGGACTTGGTCAATTAATAAGAAAAAAGAACAAGGAAAAAAATAGCGTGGTGTTGGGCAGAGAGAGAAAAATTAGGCAACACGAGTGTGCAGGTGCACGAGTGGCTTGCAAGACTTGCGTGGCGGGCAGAGACAAATCCCTCCCTATAGTTCTAGGTTGTATATGGATGGGCTGGTCAGAACCACATTGTCTAAGAGCCACCAATCACAAGTCAGCCATCAAGAAACATGTACTCACCGTCCAAAGTGGCACCTTTTGCACCCTGATTGGTGTTCTGACACCTTTGCTGAATGGGTTCAGAGGAGCTTGAGCCAACCTTTTCTCCATCACGGACAAGGAGAAGGATGTCCATGGAGGACCAGACTTTTTTTGGAATGTCCACTTCCTGCCCCGCCCATCTCACAACCTTGTCAAATGTCTCCGGGTTGGACAGGCGGCCATGCAGGAGGTATGCCCAAGCATGCCATGGTGTTGTCTGTCCATTGCAAAAGAGATGGACAGCCTGCAAAAGGTTGTCAAGCGAGGGGAGAAGGGGGTATCTGTAATGGTTTGATGGCATGCGAGAATGCCTGGGATTTGAAGCGCCGGACGAGTCGCTGGACAAGCAGCAGACAAAAGCTACTATGGTTCCTCCTTGCACCTTACTCGCATAGCCTCTTCTCATCCCATTCCTGATGTGCCACTAGCCCGAGCCTCTACGCAAGATGTTACCTCTCCTGCCACGAGCGCGCATGCTGGAGCTGGGCCCAGCACCCAGAACATCACCTCCCCCATTGACTTTCCTTCGCGCAGCCTTTCAGCTTGCCGAATTGCAGTGTCATCGTCATCCTCGCCGCCGCCGCTGCAGGCCCCACCGCGGCCACCACCACCACCTCCAGCGCGCTTGCTACACCGCTCGACACACGCATGGCCTCCTCTGACGATCATGTCAATGAGGATGCCATGCGCGTGTCATCTGACCCTGGAGGACCACAGGAGGCAACGTCGGAAGCATGGGCACCAAGGGTGAGTCGGAGGGGCAAGAGAGATGGGAGCAGCGGGGCGTAGAGCGGGGCATGCACTCGAAGCGCTCTTGCTGACACTATGCAATCCCAGGAGCGCTTGGCAAGTGTGAATACAGAAGCAGGAAGGCAAGCAGCAAGGGAAGAACTGGCAGAGTTGTACCGCTTGCTGGCAAGGTTGTGTGAGCGGGAGGGATTGGATGAGCAGGAGATGGTTTGGAATACGTGAGTGGAGAGTCTTGCCTGCCCACACACACACACACGCTGCTGACCTCTGTTGTGCTCAGGTGAAACTCATCATGGACATGCTTGGGGGAATATGGGGATACTGTACAGAGAAGAAAGGCTCAAATACGCGGGGGTTGTGCGGGATGGGGGTCTGTTGCTGTACAAAATTGATACCCTTCAAGTCGCTTTCTCAAGTTGCTTCCAGATACCCTCCGAGTGCGCCAATATACCCTGGAGCGAGCTTTGTTGCGCTCTCAAATACCCCTCCACCAACACCATCCACATGCGCTGATGCACACCTTTTCCCCCCACCGCAATGAGCATTCTTCACGACCTGCAACAAACAATGCGTCAACAGACGAGCGCGCGCGTGCGCGTGTGAGCCCTCCTCTACTCACTTGTTCTAGAGCTGCTTGGTGATCGGGTCCCATTCCCACCCGTATTCCTCTGCATACCTGTTGGCCGCTGCGTACAGCGCCTTCAAGTGCTGTCCACTCTGTAGCGTGGAAATTGTGTCAGCGGGCGGGCGCGAGTATGA